CCCCCCATACACGCGGAGACCGACTCAATTGGTGCCTCCAGTGATGCTATCTCTTTCATTGTTACCCAACGCTTAGGTTTACCTCCACTTTACTCATATCCTTCCATATCCTTGTCTGTACATAATGCCCTGAATCTTTTCTACAACACCCGGAAATCTGCCCCCTTTATTCTATGTACCCAACGCACTAGAAGACCAGTTCTTAAAGCCTTTAGCCGTATCCTTATTCTAGTCCTCCTCTGTTCCTCTGGTGATGTAGAGGCTAACCCAGGCCCTGCAGCCCTCAGTATCACTCCTACTCCCCAGGCGCTATCATTTGCTGACTTCTGTAATCGCAAAAGTCTTGGTTTTTTGCACGTAAATATCAGAAGTCTACTTCCTAAGTTTGAGTTATTCACTGCGTTAGCACACTCCGCCAACCCAGATGTTCTAGCAGTGTCTGAATCCTGGCTCAGGAAGGCCACCAAAAATTCTGAAATTTCCATCCCCAACTATAAAATTTTCCGTCTAGATAGAACTGCCAAAGGGGGTGGAGTTGCAATCTACTGTAGAGATAGCCTGCAGAGCTCTATCATACTATCCAGGTCTGTGCCCAAACAGTTTGAGTTTCTACTTCTAAAAATCCACCTTTCCAGAAATAAGTCTCTCACTGTTGCCGCTTGCTACAGACCCCCCTCAGCCCCCAGCTGTGCCCTGGACACCATATGTGAATTGATTGCCCCCCATTTATCCTCAGAGTTCGTACTGCTTGATGACCTAAATTGGGATATGCTTAATACCCCGGCCATCCTACAATCCAAACTAGATGCCCTCAATCTCACGCAAATTATCAACGAACCTACCAGGTACAACCCTAAATCCGTAAACATGGGTACCCTCATAGATATCATCCTGACTAACATACCCTCTAAATACACCTCAGCTGTCTTCAACCAGGATCTCAGCGATCACTGCCTTATTGCCTGCGTCCGTAACGGGTCCGCGGTCAAACGACCACCCCTCATCACTGTCAAACGCTCCCTAAAACACTTTAGCGAGCAGGCCTTCCTAACTGACCTGGCCCAGGTATCCTGGATGGATATAGATCTCATTCCGTCAGTAGAGGATGCCTGGTTGTTCCTTAAAAGTAATTTCCTCTCAATCTTAAATAAACATGCCCCATTCAAAAAATACAGAACTAAGAACCGATATAGCCCCTGGTTCTCCTCAGACTTGACTGCCCTTGACCAGCACAAAAACATCCTGTGGCGTACTGCATTAGCATCAAATAGCCCCCGCGATATGCAACTTTTCAGGGAAGTTAGGAACCAATATACACAAGCAGTCAGGAAAGCAAAGGCTAACTTTTTCAAACAGAAATTTGCATCCTGTAGCACTAACTCCAAAAAGTTTTGGGACACTGTAAAGTCCATGGAGAATAAGAGCACTTCCTCCCAGTTGCCCACTGCACTGAGGCTAGGAAACACTATCACCACCGATAAATCTACAATAATCGAGAATTTCAACAAGCATTTTGCTACGGCTGGCCATGCTTTCCATCTGGCTACCACTACCCCGGCCACCAACTCTGCACCCTCCGCTGCAACTTGCCCATGCCCCCCCCCCCGCTTCTCCTTCACACAAATTCAGACAGCTGATGTTCTGAAAGAGCTGCAAAATCTGGACCCCTACAAATCAGCTGGGCTAGACAATCTGGACCCTTTCTTTCTAAAACTAGCCGCCGAAATTGTCGCAACCCCTATTACTAGTCTGTTCAACCTCTCTTTCATAACGTCTGAGATCCCCAGAGATTGGAAAGCTGCTGCGGTCATCCCCCTCTTCAAAGGGGGTGACACTCTAGATCCAAACTGCTACAGACCTATATCCATCCTGCCCTGCCTTTCGAAAGTATTTGAAAGCCAAGTTAACAAACAGATCACCGACCATTTCGAATACCACCGTACCTTCTCCGCTATGCAATCCGGTTTCCGAGCTGGTCATGGGTGCACTTCAGCCACGCTCAAGGTCCTAAACGATATTATAACCGCGATTGATAATAGACAGTACTGTGCAGCCGTCTTCATCGACCTGGCCAAGGCTTTCGACTCTGTCAACCACCGCATTCTTATTGGCAGACTAAATAGCCTTGGTTTCTCAAATGACTGCCTCGCCTGGTTCACCAACTACTTCTCAGATAGAGTTCAGTGTGTCAAATCGGAGGGCCTGTTGTCTGGACCTATGGCAGTCTCTATGGGGGTGCCACAGGGTTCAATTCTTGGGCCGACACTTTTCTCCGTGTATATCAATGATGTCGCTCTTGCTGCTGGTGACTCTCAGATCCACCTCTACGCAGACGACACCATTTTGTATACATCTGGCCCTTCATTGGACACTGTGTTAACAAACCTCCAAACTAGCTTCAATGCCATACAACACTCCTTCAGTAGCCTCCAACTGCTCTTAAACACTAGTAAAACTAAATGCATGCTTTTCAATCGAACGCTGCTGGCACCCGCCCACCCGACTAGAATCACCACTCTCGACGGGTCTGACCTAGAGTATGTGGACAACTACAAATACCTAGGTGTCTGGTTAGACTGTAAACTCTCCTTCCAGACTCACATAAAGAATCTCCAATCCAAAGTTAAATCTAGAATCGGCTTCCTATTTCGCAACAAAGCCTCCTTCACTCATGCTGCCAAACATGCCCTCGTAAAACTGACTATCCTACCGATCCTTGACTTCGGCGATGTCATTTACAAAATAGCCTCCAACACTCTACTCAGCAAATTGGATGTAGTCTATCACAGTGCCATCCGTTTTGTCTCCAAAGCCCCTTACACTACCCACCACTGTGACCTGTACGCTCTTGTTGGCTGGTCCTCACTACATGTTCGTCGTCAAACCCACTGGCTCCAGGCCATCTATAAATCACTGCTAGGCAAATCCCCGCCTTATCTTAGCTCATTGGTCACCATAGCAGCACCCACCCGTAGTCTGCGCTCCAGCAGGTATATCTCACTGGTCATTCCCAAAGCCAACACCTCCTTTGGCCGCCATTCCTTCCAGTTCTCTGCTGCCAATGACTGGAACGAATTGCAAAAATCTCTGAAGCTGGAGACTCTTATCTCCCTCACTAACTTTAAGCATCAGTTGTCAGAGCACCTTACCGATCACTGCACCTGTACACAGCCCATCTGAAATTAGCCCACCCAACTACCTCATCCCTATATTTTTATTTATTTTGCTCTTTTGCACCCCAGTATCTCTATTTGCACATAATCTCTTGCACATCTAGCATTCCAGTGTTAATACTATTGTAATTATTTTGCACTATAGCCTATTTATTGCCTTACCTCCATAACTTGCTACATTTGCACACACTGTATTTATATTTTCTGTTGTATTTTTGACTTTATGTTTTTTACCCCATATGTAACTCTGTGTTGTTTTTATCGCACTGCTTGCTTTATCTTGGCCAGGTCGCAGTTGTAAATGAGAACTTGTTCTCAACTGGCTTACCTGGTTAAATAAAGGTGAAATAAAAAAATAAAAAAATAAAAAGACAGAGGTGGCCACCTGTGCTAATTAGGTGTCTAGCGGGCTCCAAACACCTGTGTGTAAGCATAACTGGGGAGGAAGTGTAGTTCGTCAACTGGAAGCACACACTGCGTATGGATCTGTGCAATAGTGCTACAGTAAATGTATGTTTTTTATTAGAATTTTTTTTTCTCGCTTATATGAATAGATAAGGGACATATCAGCGTATGTTTTGAAAACCCCTTTGCAAGCGATAATTATTAACGTTTCTAAACGGTAAAACACAGCGTCGGAATTGTAGTTCACACGCAGCCAACCATTTAGCAGACGCTCTTATCCAGAGCGACTTACAAATTGAGGTATTATAGCTCTCCTGGGTTGTTGTGAGTTGGGGTCCTTCCTTCGGCTTACGTTTCAGTCTCTCAATGGCCAATCATGCATGTTATTTTGTAAAAATATTCACATTTTCATGAAAACTGTTTAGTTCATGCCACGGTCACCTTTGAAACACCACCATGAGGGGTTTAGGCAGAGCTGCATTACTAAGCTGTTAACCCACTAACCTGCTGCCCTGTTCAGTGTTGCCATACAGAGACATATTGGACTAGAATATTTGAGAGACAGGCCTATAGTTTTTTGAAAGAATGTTTAATAAGCAGTAGGATATATACATATATTTCAGGATGTTGTGTATCCCTGAAAATAATCAGAATTCATGTAAACATTACAGTTTTGAAAACATAGCTTGTCCAAAAAAAGTGATCTTACACCCGGTATGGGGTAAGTTGAGCTGCGGCACAGGGTATGTTAAGCCGCCTAAACATTTCTGTGCTGAATGAAATATTACCACTACCTTTTTAAAACCTATCTATTTTTATTTCCCAAACACAATTCAACACAATCACAATCGCTTTACTGTCTTTTAATAATTTTAAGCATCTTTTAACACAGGCTTAACACCTAGCAAACACTTTGTACTTTTAAAAATACTTTTAACATAGGCCCTGTTGTAACCTCATATCCCAGCAATTACGCCTGGGATGAAAACAGTTCAATTTGCTCAAATTACCATTGGCTCAATTTACCCCATGGCTCAACTTACACCATGGCAAACATTTTGACTAAATTAGCCCACACAGCTTCAAGGATGCACTTTCATGATAAGTTTAGGACCTCATATTGAAGCTTATAGAGACCCCAACTGATGTATAGAACAAATTGCTTGCTTGCCACTTTTTCCATGTGGTTTCTTCCTTCACATACTCCATGAAAGGATGACCTCTTCCTAAATATTTGGTCAAATGATACATTTTGTGTATGGTTTCCTAGAAACAAGGGTGGCTCAACTTACCCCACTCTCCCCTACTACTGTACTTCCACATTTTGAGAGTGCCTCTGTTTGTCTATGCTCCGCATAAGACATAGCCAGCAATACTATGCCAAAAAAACACAACATTTTATCATGAACTTCCCCTGTAAACATGAGTGACAAAAGGAAGGTAGGTAGCACTATCATTGGCAGACGTTGGCTAAAGCCAAAACACTGGTCTCCATGGTAAGCCAACGCTGCCTCACTATCTCACTGTCTGCTACTTACCTTCCCTGACCTCTCAGGCCACTCCTCATCATGGGGTGTACTCCCGGGAGGAGGAGCTGCTGAGAGAGAGTAAGCGTCTGGGGGTCTTTGGGATCACATCATATGACTATCATGCCGAGAGCTGCCTTTTCCTCTTCCAGGCCAGCATCAGCCTGTTCTACTGCCGGGACAGCGGACATAATGGCTTCATTGTGTGTATAATTTACAGAATACAGCCCAGACCTTCCTGTTAAGGTTAGGATCATACTGCTTTTAGACCAATACAGTTATGTTGGCATCTTGGTTATTTTAGGTGTTCATGCAAAAAAAAATCCTTAAAATATATGTACAGTATTCGGAACTTGTACATTGTGAAAATTAAGAAGTGTACAGAGCACTTTGTACATTGTTTAAGGAAAGAACTGTACAAAGTGCCCTGAACATTTCTAAAGTGAAGAAGTGTACTAAGTGCTCACCCACAAGTGTTTGTGATAGAAAATACTCTGCTAACAAACCTAACTGTAGCATGGTCTTCATCCCTGAAAGTCTGTGTGGTGGTTAGCAGGTGTCCCCCATGAAGCCTGTAGAGATTAAGACCCAATGCTCAGGCACATCAACAACAATGACCTGTGGGTGGTCAGCATTGAGACAGGGGAGGAGAGGAGACTCACCTACTGCCAGAAAGGTTGGCACGCTACTAAAACAAAAAACTATTTTGAGACTGATGCTAATTCACTTTCAGAGTTTGGTTATTTCTCAATTTGATTGATTTCTGTTTAATGAAAGGTCTTCAATTTATCTGAAAGGGTGCTCTTTTGTGTTAATACCGAGGATACACACAGGCCTGCATTTTGTTTGCATTACATTTTCATCATATAATGCTGAATATACTAGCAAGAGTGTTCTTTAAAAAGTATAATATGAAGGAGGACCCTAAGTCTGCAGGCGTTGCCACCTTTGTGATCCAGGAGGAGTTTTACCGCTTCACGGGCTACTGGTGGCCGCCAGCTGCTCCTGAAGGTGACTATCTTTATGTACTGTTTTTGTGATGTTTCTTATGCTACGTTGTTTCCCTCTACCAGAGATACATCTTTTGATTGAACAGGATCTTTGATTTTGATACATAAAAATAAAAAAACAGTTCACAATTTTACTGGATTATTGAAGGCCAAGTCCACTGGGTTATTCTACAATCCACTGTAACACAAAGCACATTGGCTTTCGGCACATATTTGCTGTTGAATAAAACGGCCAACTCAATAGGTTTGTCTCGTTCTCTTTCAGACCCAGATGGGGGGAAGACCCTCCAGTTACTGTATGAGCAGGTGGATGAGTCAGAGGTGGAGTTAATTCACGTTCCCTCCCCAGCCCTGGAGGAGCGCAAGGCTGACGTTTACAGATACCCCCGCATAGGTCCGCTCTCACCCCCACCCCAAATTGCCTTTTTTTTGGTACTGATTCATAACTTTTTCTTGAACTGTATTAGCTACTATCTACATTTTCATGTGGAAGATATTGTGGCTAGGCAGAGTAGGATTTTATACGTCAATATACATTTGAGTAACTTGAGCTATTGGACAGTAGTCCCACATAAGACGTGATATCTAATATGGGTACCTTGTGTCGCCCTGCTCAAACTGGCCGAAATCAGAACCGACCATCTTGGCAGAGTAAGCGCATCTTCATAAATTGTCATGGTTTTGAACTGTGTTGGTATGTCTGTCTATTCATATTCTGTATGTCTACCTGTATATTCTGTATGTCGCTTTCTGTTCCTATATTTTTGGTCTTCTATGTATTTTGTATGTCACTCAATGCCTATCTGCCTGTGTATTTTCATGAGTCCTTGTTATTCATCAGATTATGAGCACCCAGGACAAGGAGCTGGTCCTGCCATTCACCACCCTGTTCCCCGGGGTCGAGTACATTGCCCGCCCCTGCTGGACAAAAGTCGGAAAATTCGTTAATTCTAAAGACTGGAACAGACACAACTAACCAAACCTATCTATGCCATGGAACGAATTATATCTGTGATGTAAAGGTGTAATTATTCCTATTTTATAAACCATTGAGTAAAGTCCTTGTAAAGGTGAAAAAGGCACCAAGCCTTGTGGTTTCAGCAAATGGATGTATTATATTTTATTGTAGCTTTATTTAACCAGCTGAGTTAAGAATAAATGCATATTTACAATGATAGCCTGATCATATTACTTAGGCCAACACCATCTGTCACGACTCCCTCCGAAGCTGCCACCTGTCCTTGTTCGGGCAGGCTTCGGCGTTCGTCGTCACCGGCCTTCTAGCCACTGCCGCTCCTCATTTCATCATTCCATTGGTTTTATCTTGTTCATTACACACACCTGGTTCATATCCCCTCATCAGTACCTGTATAAGCGTTCCCTCTGCTCCCTCGTCTTTGTGTGTGATTGTTTATTGTGAGGATAGTGAAGCTCGGTGGAGCTCCTTGTATTTTGTATCGCCGGGTTATTTTCCCCGTGTGCCTTGTTAATTCCAGTGCGCCTGTTTTGCGTACTGGACTGTTTTGACGCATTACTGCGTAACTCTGTTTTCCAGAATAATTCCTGTTATTCTGTGATTTACCCTCCTGCGCCTGACTCCTTCAACTCACCCATCACACCATCTAAAGTTCCATTCCATCCCACACTAACCAGCAATCTGGACTAGTCCTCCCACGATTGTGCTACCAGCAGGGCTGAAATGGAATGTTACCCGCTCCTGGTGGGCAACAGTTGTCTTGAGGTCTGTGCTAAGGCCATTTCTACAAGCTAATAGGCCCAGAGAGCGACCCTCTGCACAGAGCGCCTGAGTTCTGGGCTAGCATGATGAAGGCCACAGGTGAGTGAGTAGGGGACTCTCCGGTGTTCACTTTTCTACTGGCTTTTCACCCTCACTACAAAAACATGAATGTATCAATGCACCATATGTTAACATGAATAAGGACACACTTACCTCACAAATTGAGACTATGGAATGGTACTGCAAATTCAATGTTGCTTCTTCATAGTTTTTGAATGAGTCACTCCCCCAAGGGCAGCAACATCTATAACATCAATAGTATCTGCCGTTGCTATACTAACTGCCTAAGAGCAACAACATAAAAACTATCTGCCCCTTCTGCTCTAGTAACTGCCCCAAGAACAGCAACATGAACAGTGATATGCATTTGACATCATATTGATGTTGTTTTTTTCTCAGGGTGCCCAGGAGATTACATTCCACCAGAGATCTTTAATTTCCCAGGGAAGTCAGGGTTCCAGCTATACAGCATGTTGTACAAACCACACACCTTGGTACCTGGCAGAAAGCACCCCACCATCCTCTTTGTGTATGCAGGCCCCCAGGTTTGTTCAATTAAAATGTTTTTATCCTGTAATGTAGTCTGTTTGTGATAGTTGAGATTTCAACCCCAAAATAAGAAAAATAAAGATGATGTTAAAGGTTTTCTTATGTATGTTTTTAATGTTGAGTGGGTGTTTTGTTTGTAGTCCAGTTAGTAAATAACTCGTACAAAGGAGTGACGTACTTGAGGCTGAATACGCTAGCGTCACTAGGCTACGCTGTCGTGGTCATCGACGGGAGAGGCTCCTGTCAGAGGCCTCAAGTTCGAGGGGGCTCTGAAAAACAAAATGGCAAACAGTAGCACAACTTCACATCTCTACTAACCCTACACCATTGTTGTAGGTATTGACAAAATATGTGATTTCTGTATTGCCAGTTTATCAGTCTGTATTACCAGGGTTGTGTTCAGGAAGGCACAACATCAAAAAGGGCGTTCTTATTGGACAAGCCCAGATAGTACGTCCCCATTTCACTGCGTTTCAACAACATTTTCTTCTGTTTTGTGCCTTCTGAACACAACCCAGTCCATGCCAGCCTTGACATTCCTTTCCCCCTTTCTGTGGGTCTCATGGCCAGGTGGAGATTGAGGACCAGGTGGAGGGGCTGCAGTACGTGGCATACAAGTTTGTGGACCTGAGTCGCGTGGCCATCCATGGCTGGTCCTACGGTGGCTTCCTCTCCCTCATGAGCCTCGTCCACAGGCCCAACATCTTCAAGGTGAGGTGAAAGTTCAAAGTCTCCACTGAAGAACATTAGGGGACTACTCTTTGGACTAGGTCACAATTTCACATCACATGCACTCTGTGTAAAAAAATTATAATATTGTGACGGCAGGCTGTGCAGTTCTATGGTCTTGAACCATGAAGGGGTAGTAATGTGGCCCAGCCCTGGTTAAATCAACAAGCCCAAAATATTGACTCTAAAATGGAATTTAACACTACAAGATCTTAACTGGTTGTACCTATGGTTACTCTTCACTCTTAATCAGTTAACATTGTAGAATCACAATCTCGTGATTTAAGCCTGCTTGATTTGTGCTGTCCTTGTTTGGTCCAGGTGGCCATAGCGGGAGCCCCTGTGACTGTGTGGATGGCTTACGACACAGGCTACACAGAGCGCTACATGGACCTGCCTGAGAACAACCAGCAGGGCTACGAGGTTGGCTCCGCCACCCTGCACATAGACAAGCTGCCTAGCGAGTGAGTCGTCATCGTTCATTACAATTTACTGTCAATCTCAGGGTGCTTCACAGGCAATAAGTAAAAGCAGCAGTAAGCACTCTCCAAAGTGCATCTGTGTAGCACTGTCCTGCAGCACTGTTCTTCCCTTGTTTTGGTATAGTCCTGATGGGATAGACTTGCTTGGAATGCATGTTTCAATGAGCCTAGTCCTAGATTTGTTTGTGCTGTATAACCAACTCTAATGACGACAACCATAGGAGTTATGGGCCCCGTGTAGCGCAGTTGGTAGAGCATGGCACATGCAACGCCAGGGTTGTGGGTTCGATTCCCACGGGGGGCCAGTATGGGAAAAAAAAAAAAAATGTATGCACTCACTGGATAAGAGTGTCTGCTAAATGACTAAAATGTAAAATGAGTTGGCTATACAGCACAAACGGATCAGGGACCAGGCTAATATTCGATGTGAGGGGAAATACTTTTCCTTTAATCTTTTAATTAAAAAAAATCCTACCCAGGCCTAACCAGTTACTTATTATACACAGATTCCTTGACAAAAATGTGCACTTTTTCCACACCAACTTCCTGGTTTCTCAACTGATTCACACGGGGAAGCCTCATCAGCTACAGGTAGAAGGGCATTGGGTTTAGTTGTTTACATGTACAAGTCCATGTAAGATGGGACACAACACACATTATTATTATTCTGTTTATTTACGTGTAAGGCTTGTCTTCAGGGTAGAAATTGAAGAGCGATGATGAGAGAATTGAGCATGTGCGGTGCAACCTTTTCCCAGGCTTTAGCTGAAATGTTGGTGAAAACAAACGCTACGAAGAAGAAACGAGTATGATTCATTTCTTTTTCTAAGGAATCTTTTCAGAGCATATAAAAATAATCTTTGAAATGAGGAAGATCGGTGCTTCCTTGCCGGGGCTTTCTCTTTTCTCCATATCTGATCCTTTGTCTCCATCTCTTCAGATCTACCCCAACGAGAGACACAGCATCCGCTGCCCAGAGTCTGGAGAGCACTATGAGATTATGCTGCTGCACTTCCTCCTCAAGCAGTACCTCTGATGAGGGCTGCAGTTGAATGGACCGAGCCACCCTCTCCACTCCCCCTCCTCCCCCCTATTGCCCAATGTCACCATTCCCCTCCACACACACTATGTGCCCCACCACCATCCGACCCCCCCACTCTTTTTTTATTTTTTTAAACAGCCTGCAGCAACTTTGTGACCTAAGTGACTTTGAGCGTGGAATGATCGCCAGATCCAGTATCTCAGAAACGGCCGCCCTCCTGGGCTTTTCAAACACGACCGTGTCTAGGGTTTACCGAGAATGGTGCGACAAACAAAAAACATCCAGTCAGTGGCAGTCCTGTGGGTGAAAACAGCTCGTTGATGAGAGGTTGAAGGAGAATGGCAAAAATCATGCAAGATAATAGGCGGGCCACAAACAGACAAATAACAGTGCAGTACAACAGTGGTGTGCAGAAGGCATCTCGGAACGCACAACTGGTCGATCCTTGTCACGGATGGGCTATTGCAGCAGACAACCACACCGGGTTCTACTCCTAACAGCTAAAAACAAGAAAAAGCGACTCCATTGGGAATGCGATCACCAACACTGGAGAATTTAGTGGAAAAACATTGCCTGGTCCGATGAATCCCGGTTACTGTTGTGTCATGTTGATGGCAGAGTTTGGCGAAAACGTGATGGACCCATCCTACCTGGTGTTGACGGTACAGGCTGGTGGCTGTGGTGTACTGCAGTCCAATCGGCAGCAACTGCTGTGTGATGCCATCGTGTCAGCATGGACCAACATCCCTGTGGAACGTTTCCGACTTGTAGAATCCATGCCCGATGAATTCAGGCTGTTCTGGAGGCTAAGGGGGCCCGGTACTAGATGGGTGTACCTAATAAACTGTGTAGTTGTGTATTATCAGTTATTTCACTAGGGGGAGCTGTATGTTTTGTTTATGATACTGTATTATGCCCTTTTCAGTGCAACCACAGAGTACAACTGTATGAACCTGCAGCATACAGACAAAATAAGTCTAAATAGATTTTCTAAGGACTTGCTAAGGCCCAATTTCACCCAAACAATCAACCATTGCAAATACAACTATACTGATATTTATTTAAGATATTTAGTTTGTATTATACATACAACAGTTGGACCCTTTCAAAGGGTGTAAGTGCTGTAACGCATCAGTCAGTTTGACTGAAATAGTGCTACTGAGATATTATATTAATCCTAAATTATAATAATAATAATAAATTAAAGGGATGTTCTTGCAGGCTTGCTACACAAAAGGCAAAGGTTAATATGAATAACAATATTTATGATAATTCTGCTAGCAGAATTATTGACTTTGGCAAATTAAGTTATTCATTTAACCTCACAAGCTCAATATTGTTTGTACAATATTGTGAAGAAAAAAAAAGTAATATTCTTATACTGAAGGTCTAATGAACCTTGATCCACCTATGACTTGACTGTAGCTGGGATAATCTTCAATACAGTGGTCCTCAGGGTATGATTGCTCTTCCAAATGATCAGTGGCTTCCTTGGCTGTAGCCTTTGAAGGAGGTGGGTTTTTCTAGGGTACTTGCCATTCAGGTTGGATTGGCTGCAGTTGCTGAACCACCAGCCACCTATGGGGAAACAAGACACTTGTTAGAGTTCATTCTTTTAGATGAGAAGATTCAAGAACTTCAGTGAGGACAAGTTCAAGGAAAATGTGAATGATACACTGACGTACCTGAGAGTTGCTTGGCACAGTTGACATCGGCGTGCAGGTTGTTTTCTCTGTCAGTAGTGGAGAAGGGCAGACCGGAGGGCCCGGTGGTCAAGCCACTGTCCAGGCCATCAGATGAACTCTTGGGCAGGTAGAGGGCGTGGTTACTCTCTTCTCCACCCAATCGGAATGGGTACTGCACAGACTGAGCCTCTCCCCTCCAATCGAACCGCTCCAACATCAGTGTGCTCTTCCTGTTTTCTCAGAGTGTGGATTTTCTCCAGACAGGGAATTAGCCAAGGAATGTTCCAATCGTTCCACAGCCATCCTGTGAAAAGCAACTGTTCTTGGAGAAGCCTATATCCATCAGGGCAAATTCCCACCGATGGCGATTTAGAAGTTTAGAGCAACCAAGAACAAGGACATTAGTCCCCTGTAGCTCAGTTGGTAGAGCATGGCGCTTGCAACACCAAGGTTGTGGGTTCGTTTCCCACGGGGGGCCAATATGAAAAAAATATATGCACTCACTAACTGTAAGTCACTCTGGAAAAGAGCATCTGCTAAATGACTAAAATGTAAATTAGTTTATCTTTCACTCACCAGCAGTCACTTTAAAGAAGACGTCCAAGGGCTGAGAGTTGCGAGGCTGGAGTGTGTACATTCCATTGTCTCTCTCCCCTTTTAGGAACAACTCATGGCAGTCCGTGGCCAACTCTGAAACAACAAAAATGATACACGTTCATCAGTAACCATTCATCAAATTAGACAGACGTCATTCATCTCCCTGGGCTTTGAGATCTAGTAACAAATCACCCATTCACATTGAGTAAACGTATTCACTGGCAACTTGTATACTGATCTAGGGCAACTGCTTATCAATGAGTACACAGGAAAGGCAAAACTCCTTGTCCTTAAGAGCCTTGATCTTTGGACTACTTACAGGTCGTACTACCAGCAGGGATGCCACAGAGCAAAAGGAAATGTATTTTTCTTCAATACAATCTGGGACTGTAAGTAATATCTGAATATCAGTAGCACATACAGAAACACTTGGAATGTTTGTAAATGTGTACTGATCGCCAATTCTTGCTGAAATGTGCAAAGTGAATGACCCCTTTCAAGACAATTATATTATCTATCTTGTGGACCATTATCTGAAACCGAGATGTGTGTCCATCCTGTCCTACAAGTCCATGTGTGCTACCATGCGAGGCCCAACAAAATCAAAAGGTTGTGTGTTTTTGAAGAATAGGTAGTGTGAATGGAAGTGAATTGGAGATTGGAAATTCAACAAAATTGACTAATTCAATGTCCATATTCTATTAGGATGTATGAGTTACCAGTTAGAGAAGCGACTCCTTTAGTGTCATCCTTCAGTGCTTTTTCCTCATGTCCCCGTCTGACAACCGACTCCTCTCTCCTCTGTTTAAACTGAGGGAATAGACAAACATGACCTATCAGATAATGTACACACACACACACACACAATAGGGGGTGTTGTACAGTACATACCTTGCCCTGGAGTGCATGTAGGTGCATGTTTTGTTTCTCCAGTTTGTCCTGCTGTTGCATTACTCTCTCCACTAGGTCATCTATCCGTTTACGCTGAGGACAAAAGTGACACAAATGAGATCTGTTTTTTGTTGTATTCACAATGTCTTAACTTCTGATGAGATTGATAATGTGGGAAATGGATGTACCATAATTGCAGTATATTGAAGCTTGCCCATTATTTGAATACAGGGCTTGACTTTACTGACCATCATCACAATGTGAGTCAGCAGTTGACTTTACATTTTTGACCTCTAATTTTCATTTTATTAATTTATTCATCATTGTATTAATCATATTCAATAAGTAATACAATAAATACTCCTTGATAATATTTTAGAAAACACCCACAGTACATTATGAAGAAGTGGCAGATTGTTCTCTACCTGGATGAAGTTGGCATCACTGCGGTTGTTACTGCTGTTGTTCAGCTTCACCCCCATCCTTGCAGCATTCCATCCACCCTCTACTCTAGCCTGTTCATCCTGGTGTGGATCCTGCGCCTGCACCTCAGCAGACATGTTCACCACTTGGCTCTCTATCTGCACCATCTCCTGGGCTCTGGTGTTCAGTGCCTCCCTATCCTCCTGCAGGCTCTTGGTCTGCCTGCCCAGCATGGCCACTGCGCCATTGAAGGCTTTCAGCTTGGCGGAGATGTTTTCTCTTGATTTTCACCACATGTTCTTTGAGGCCGTGGCCCCGCTGGAGAAGCCCGTGGGCCACCACGTTCACGTCATCCCAGGAGGCGTACTGAGCCCTGTCTCTCTCAAATGAGAAACTGGTCCCCATATGGACCAAGACAGCCACTAACAACATTAGCAATGTCAGTGTTGGCTTCATCTTTGTTTTGACTAGTGTCTTTGGCCTTCTTGAAGTATAAGCACCAATGTTGGTCTTGGGTCAGCTGGTGAAGTCTTGTTCTTTCTTCTGCTGTATAGCCTCAGAGGTTTATATATCCTGTTGTTCCCATGCTGCTGAGACTAGGCTTGATTGGCTGCTCCTCGGGTAGTGGGGATGTGGCAAGTAAAATTGAATTATCTCCATTGTTACTTTAGTCACATTGTTTTAGGGGACTTGGAACTTGATGAGCAATGAGCTGTCTGTGAAACTTTGAAACAGAAAACATAGATGTACAAGTACACCCCCCCGAGACAGGACACTATTCTGTCTCAGGACCTTACCCCCAATCTATCTCCTAATGCCGAGTGCCAAGCAGAGACGCATCGGGTCCCATTTTTACAGTCTTTGGTATGACTCCACCAGGGATCAAACTCCCAACCTTCCAAGCTCAGGGCCATTGGTCTGATAAATATTCAACCATTTTTGATTGCTGAAAGTATTTTAGGAAAGAAGTAAAGATACATTGATTGTAATTTAAAGAAGTTTGTTTTTTACCTCAGTAATTATTGTTTAATCTCTAAAGGAAGTTACTGTCAAACTTATAGCAGTGTTGCTTGACATAGATATCGCTTATCCTATTAGACATATCATCTTATTCTGGTGCACTCAAGTGTCTAGCTAGCAGGTCAGTCATGATCATCATTCTATGGCATGGAATCCTGTAAAATGGTGGTACAAGCAGTGGCAGTGTGAGAAGCAGGGTAAAGTTCAAGCTCAGACAATTGTGGTATTTTGAGGAAGATGCATTTTCCAAAACAAGTGGTGACAGCCTTTGACACGCATTAAACACACATGGATTTGTTTTGATAAGCCTAGTATGTCAAAAATATGAGAGGATCAAATCTATAGTTTTATGGTGTTCTGTTCCATCAATGGTACTTTTGACTAAGAATTTTACTCAAAATACTGTAATGAAATGGTTTTAAACATATTGAAATATATATTTATGTAGTTGCTCATGGCAATGGCCTATTATGCTTAAAAGTTCCATATGTCAGTGAATGGCAGCAGGTAATTTGACAGCATCTTCGGTTGTACAGTTGTAGGATCTTAATTTGATCACCCTGTTTTTTGCAAAGAAGTAATCCAAACTAGGTAAGGTAGTTACAACATTTCTACCAGAGTAATAATAACTATTGTTATTGTTTTTCATTTGCAGCTTAGTGTGTGAAAGGTGAAGATGATATCATGTGCCAGAAGTCTTGCATCAGCTTCTTGAGGCAGAAAATACTGATCAGACATCCACAGCTGGAGTACTGTACGACTGGTTAGCTCCGATGGCTAAGCCCACAATAACAGGTTTTGAAGTGTATTTGCGTGTACCCTTGGGCATAATGGCTGTAGGATGGATTAGATTTTTGATATACAGTGGGGGGAAAAAAGTATTTAGTCAGCCACCAATTCTCCCACTTAAAAAGATGAGAGAGGCCTGTAATTTTCATCATAGGTACATGTCAACTATGACAGACAAAATGAGAAAAGAAATCCAGAAAATCACATTGTAGGATTTTTTATGAATTTATTTGCAAATTATGGTGGAAAATAAGTATTTGGTCAATAACAAAAGTTTCTCAATACTTTGTTATATACCCTTTGTTGGCAATGACACAGGTCAAACGTTTTCTGTAAGTCTTCACAAGGTTTTCACACACTGTTGCTGGTATTTTGGCTCATTCCTCCATGCAGATCTCCTCTAGAGCAGTGATGTTTTGGGGCTGTCGCTGGGCAACACGGACTTTCAACTCCCTCCAAATATTTTCTATGGGGTTGAGATCTGGAGACTGGCTAGGCCACTCCAGGACCTTGAAATGCTTCTTACGAAGCCACTCCTTCGTTGCCCGGGCGGTGTGTTTGGGATCATTGTCATGCTGAAAGACCCAGCCACGTTTCATCTTCAATGCCCTTGCTGATGGAAGGAGGTTTTCACTCAAAATCTCACGATACATGGCCCCATTAATTCTTTCCTTTACACGGATCAGTCGTTCTGGTCCCTTTGCAGAAAAACAGCCCCAAAGCATGATGTTTCCACCCCCATGCTTCACAGTAGGTATGGTGTTCTTTGGATGCAACTCAGCATTCTTTGTCCTCCAAACACGACGAGTTGAGTTTTTACCAAAAAGTTCTATTTTGGTTTCATCTGACCATATGACATTCTCCCAATCCTCTTCTGGATCATCCAAATGCACTGTAGCAAACTTCAGACGGGCCTGGACATGTACTGGCTTAAGCAGGGGGACACGTCTGGCACTGCAGGATTTGAGTCCCTGGCGGCGTAGTGTGTTACTAATGGTAGGCTTTGTTATTTTGGTCCCAGCAGGTCATTCACTAGGTCCCCCCGTGTGGTTCTGGGATTTTTGCTCACCGTTCTTGTGATCATTTTGACCCCACGGGGTGAGATCTTGCGTGGAGCCCCAGATCGAGGGAGATTATCAGTGGTCTTGTATGTCTTCCATTTCCTAATAATTGCTCCCACAGTTGATTTCTTCAAACCAAGCTGCTTACCTATTGCAGATTCAGTCTTCCCAGCCTGGTGCAGGTCTACAGTTTTGTTTCTGGTGTCCTTTGACAGCTCTTTGGTCTTGGCCATAGTGGAGTTTGGAGTGTGACTGTTTGAGGTTGTGGACAGGTGTCTTTTATACTGATAACAAGTTCAAACAGGTGCCATTAATACAGGTAACGAGTGGAGGACAGAGGAGCCTCTTAAAGAAGAAGTTACAGGTCTGTGAGAGCCAGAAATCTTGCTTGTTTGTAGGTGACCAAATACTTATTTTCCACCATAATTTGCAAATAAATTCATTAAAAATCCTACAATGTGATTTTCTGGATTTTTTTTCTCTCAATTTGTCTGTCATAGTTGACGTGTACCTATGATGAAAATTACAGGCCTCTCTCATCTTTTTAAGTGGGAGAACTCGCACAATTGGTGGCTGACTAAATACTTTTTTCCCCCACTGTATGCACATTCATATTTTTGGTTTTGGTTTTAAGGGATCATTCACTATCTTAAAAACATAAAGTTGCACAAATTGTCATGCAGCTGAAGAATAGAAGACCGTAGATATACCATTACTATATATACGCCATTCCATGAAACCTATGGCTACACTTTATTATTTCAGGGAGTGTGGTGGGAGAACTGGGATTTCTGCTAGAACCATACAGCTGTTATTTTCAATGCAGGGGCTAAAATACCCTTTACCCAGATTCCAAATGTATAGCATCTATATTCTGCAAGTTTTTTTTGCTTTCCATAGGCCTTATATATGAACTGTATCCTAGATTATCTACTCTAATCGACTGACCTGTTGCCTCTTTTCAATGAAGAATCCATTTTGTGACGTGACAAAATGTCATGAGCCATGAGATACATGGTCACTTGGTAACTTACACCATACATGGACTTCCACAAATCAATGTACACCCCAAATAAAATGTGGATGTGGTAAGAAATACTTCAATACTGGATTAAACTGGAATTTTCATACTTCTAAAATATACGCGTCATAAAAGTAATGCATGCTAGAGCAAACGTTGTAACCATTACTTAATATTTGCTATACACACGTTTTCAAGCCTTGCTCAGTTAATCAAATATATAATTTCCCCATGATGTTGCAACTGATGGATTTCTGTGGGATGACATGCAAATACTTTCCTAGATTCTGCTCTATTTCAGTCTGGTTGGCCAGGCGATGTGTATGCAACTGTCATTTTACTTTTCATTCATCTTTTCCCCAATTACATTGAACATAAATATAAACACAACATGTAAACTGTTGGTCCCATGTTTCATGAGCTGAAATAAAAGATCTCAGAAATTCTCCATATGCACAAAAAGCTTATTTCTCTCACATTTTGTGCACAAATTTGTTCACACCCCTGTTAGTGAGCATTTCACCTTTGCCAAAATAATCCATACATCTGACATGTGTGGCATATCAATAATCTGATTAAACAGCATTATCATTACACAGGTGCACCTTGTGCTGGGGGGACACAACACAATGCCACAGATGTCTCAAGAGTGAGGGAGCGTGCAATTGACTGCAGTACGTCCAACTGGCCTCACAACCTCCGACCTCGTCTAACCATGCCAGCCCAGGACCTCCATATCCGTCTTCTTCACCTGCGGTATGGTCTGAGACCAGCCACCCGGACAGCTGATGAAACTATGGGTTTGCACAACCGAAGAATCTGCACAAACTGTCAGAAACCGTCTGAGGGAAGCTCATCTACGTGCTCGTCGTCCTCACCAGGGTCTTGACCTGACTGCAGTTCGGGGTCGTAAACGACTTCAGTGGACAAATGCTCCCCTTCAATGACCACTGGCATGTTGGAGAATTGTGCTCTTCACAGATTAATCCCGATTTCAACTGTACCGGGCAGATAGCAGTATGGCGTTGTGTGGGCAAGCAGTTTGCTGATGTCAACATTGTGAATAGAGTACCCCATTGTGGCGGTGGGTTTATGGTATGGGCAGGCATAAGCTATGGACAACGAACACAATTGCATTTTATCAATGGCAATTTGAATGCACAGAGACACCGTGACGAGATCCTGAGGCCCATTGTCGTGCCATTCATCCGCTGCCATGACCTCATGTTTCAGCATGATAATGCACACAGCCCCATGTCGCTAAGATCTGTACACAATTCCAGGAAACTGAAAACATCCCAGTTCTTCCATGGCCTGCATACTCACCAGACATGTCACCCATTGAGCAGGTTTGGGATGCTCTGGATTGACGCGTGCAACAGCGTGT